TAACTTATTTCACTTAATATATTGCCCTTAAGGTCCATCCATGTTGTGGTCTTACTCCCTTTTCAGATTGTTCTTCCCTAAGGCATCATAAATTGCATCTAACCACACATTAACCCTGTTACTTACATGGACTTGAAAAATGTAGGGTGTTTTTCTTAGATTTCACTTCTACAGGATTAAAAAAAAGTTCAAATTCTTTCCCTCTTCCCTTCAGATCCAGTGGTCTGTAATTTGAATTATAACATATTCTACAGAAAAGGAGGCAGAGTTTGGGAGTCAACAGCTCTCACTTCAGACCTAATGAGCTGTATGGTTCTGGGCAAGTTTGAAAGCTTCCTGCACCTGATTTTCTACATATAAAGTAGAAAATCTCATGTGCTGCTAGGGAAAAGATAAACTGCAAAAACATATGGAAAAGTTATTCAAGAGCAAAAGTACCTTTCATTTCCATAACTCTTACAGGTCTTCTTGCAATCTTATTTGTATGCCCTCCATGAGTCAAGTTCTCTGTCACAGGGTTCAACATGCAAGATACATTCACCCATCACCTGGAAGACAAGATAAACACTATTTCTGCCTTAGAGCTTTTTGTTGGGAGATGTGAGCAATATGTGTGTATTAATATTTTACTTTGCTACTCTCCATAAATATTCTATGGTGGGCTACTATGACCCGTAGTGAAGGGAACATTCTCACAGAAAGGTGAAAGCTGCAGTTTACACGAAGAGATGCATTGGCTTGTGGGATGCTTAACCATAGGGCTTAAGACTTTTAAAAGCCACCTTTAGCAGTAAAAGAATTATGGGAGTCATATCTCCCTTAACACAAGTCTAAATCAAGAATCAAACTAGCCATAAAATAAAGGTTCAGTTCAGTCACTCAGTCGTGTCCGACTCTGAGACCCCATGAACTGCAGCATGCCAGGCCTCCCTGTCTATCACCAACTCCCAGAGCCCACCCAAATTCATGCCCATTGAGTCGGTGATGCCACCCAACCACCTCATCCTCTGTCGTCCCCTTCTCCTCCTGCCTTCAATCTTTCCCAGCATCAGAGTCTTTTCCAATGAGTCAGCTCTTCGCATCAGGTGGCCAAAGTATTGGAGTTTCAGCTTTAACATCAGTCCTTCCAATGAACACCCAGGACTGATCTCCTTTAGGATGGACTGGTTGGATCTCCTTGCAGTCCAAGGGACTCTCAAGTCTTCTCCAACACCACAGTTCAAAAGCATCAATTCTTTGGCGCTCAGCTTCCTTTATAGTCCAACTCTCATATCCATTCATGACTACTGGAAAAACCACAGCCTTGACTAGACGGACCTTTGTTGGCAAAGGTAAGGAAGCTCAAAATGTTTCTGATTTGCACCATGAGAGTTACTTAGAAGCTTTGTTTGAAATATGAATCTTTCTGGGTTCCCCGCCCCTCTCATTTTTTCCTTGGTGTCCATTTATCCTGGTGTACCAGGACAGCGGTCCCCAAAGTGTAATCCTAAACCAGCAGCAGCACCATCCTCTGAGACCTTGTCAGAAATGCTAATTCTCTGGCCCCACCCTTAATTTACTGAATCAGAACCTCTGACTGCTAGAACCTAGCAACCTGTGTTTTAACAAGCCCTTTCAGGCGATTCTGAAGCACTGAAGTTTGAGAATCATTGCCCTAAACAGATACTTGAGCTGCCCACTGCACTGTTTCTCAAACTACTTTTCGTTAGAATCTCCTGAGAGCTTTACAAAAATATTAATGCTGGAACTCTAAATCCACAGATTCTAAGGTCATTGGTCAGGGGTAGGCCCATGAAATCAGTATTTTTTTTAAAGTCTCCCGGGTGATTCTAATATGCCAACCAGGGTTGAGAATCACTAGCATGTTGGGTAATTCAGCTCTAACCCCTAGGTTTGAGCAATTGGGGGTTGGCATTAGGGCTGGAGGAGGGGAGGTGAGGGAGGACAGAGAGGCTGTCTGCTTCCTCAGTTCAAGCTGAAGGGAATTAGCAGGAATATAGGGATTGTTCAGAAGAATGTGTAAGCAAGTTTGAAACGTAACATATTTAAATGGGGAAAGGGGAGTACTGTAGTTAAGGCATAATCTTCAGGGAACATTTGGGCCAATGAGCAATTTTGGACTGAATGAAAGGGAAAAAAACTTAGAGAAAAATGGTGAAAAAGACTAGTGAGTACAACTAAGAAAATTCCTTCTGCTACTGTGTTGTGCACTAGAACCTTGTACATTTCTCTTCCTAATCTCTAGGCCAACATTCAGTTTACTCCTTTTTTAAAAATCTGGAAAAGGAACAACTCTACTTAAAAAATTTTAATATTGGTACAGTGGCACAGTGGTAAATATGCCTGCCAATGCAAGAGGCAGAAGATACAGGAACACAGGTTTGATCCCTGGGTCAGGAAGATCCCCTAGAACAACTCACTCCAGTATTCTTGCCTGGAGAATCCCATGGACAGAGGAGCCTAGCGGGCTAAGTCCAAAGAGTCAGCATGACTGAGCACACATGCATCCTATTCTCCACATAATATTTTATTGTGTTTTATTGTAAGATTGGTACGGTTAGGCAAAGTCTGGGTGAAGGAAACATTCTCATGGAAGGGTGAAAGCTGACTGAACAGTAATTATCTTCACTTATACAATAGCGAAATGAAGGAAACAGCAAAATCATTTTTTCGTTTTTAAACTTGAAAAAATTATAGCCATAAAACAAACATTTTAGAAATGGATTCTTTTTGGTAAAAAGCTGTGTTTTTAAAAGGACTTGATTTTTAAAATGGATTTATTTCGTCATGTATTTTTGTATGTTCATATTTTGGATGAAGTGAGGGGCAGAATTAAGAAATGTTTTGAAAAAAGTGGTAAAGTAGATGGTAGATGAAAGGTGAAAATAAGAAAAAAATAGGTAGTGAAAAGACGGAAGGGGTCTGGAAGTAAAACAATATAAAATAGGAGAGGAATTCTTTTTTTCACTGCTTTATCTGCAATACCTAGAACAAGGAATAATATCAATAAATATAGTATACTTGTTGAATGAATGCTCTTACATGATACCTCCAGTTCTGCATACCAGGATGAGATGATTACTGGTTGGTTGAGAAATTAACATATGAAATCTTAAACTTATTTTTTGTGAAGGACTTTTCAACCTTTGACAGGTATTATAAACTTTTCTGGCCAAGGTGTGGCCATTTCCTAACCAAAAGTTTCAAAGAAATGGAGGTTGAAACAACGGTAATTCTTTAGAGAAGCCGGCTATTCACTCTCAAAGCACCCCACTTTCACTCCCTTCAAAATTAGTCCATCATTTATGAATAAGCATCCCCTGGGGCCATTTATGAAAGGGCTTTCAGGTAGCAGAATTTAGCAAACTAATTTTCATGTGAAACACTCCCTAGATGTGTCTCCAACATGATACATGATACAGAGGGTCCAGCACAGAAAAATATCTGTGTGGCACATTGGTGTCCGTCTTGTGTTCTCAAAATCCCAAAGACCCATGTCTTGCTCATCAGACAGGCCACCTAAATGGGGTTGAGCATGTGTATGAGGGGCACATAGGACTATTGAAAAAGGGTTTCAATTTTCTTCAAAGATTTTTAGTGGGTTCACCTCAGAGACTTAATCCCTAGAGTGAAGTGGAGAGCACCCTAGATGTAAAGCTCATTCTTTTCACTATTCTTTTTTGCAAAATGTGGGGTATCACTATCCCTTGGCCATTCCCTACCAATCACTGCTCTGAAATGAAAAGAGCGGGTTTGAGATCAACTTTCCGATGTCACATGGCTTTCGGTTTTGTGCTTCCCTCACGATTCCTTTAAAGAATTTGCCATGTGTTTTTCATTCTCTGAGTCAGTAAATACTTACGAAGCCCCCAATACTTCACCAGGCACTGTGCGAGGCTCCAGGCAACCACAGTGACCAAACAACCCCCTGCTCACGCAGGATTAGATCAAGTGGGGGAAGAGAAGTCAAACAATAAACATATAAAATATGCAACATCTAGCAGGTGGTAAGAAATGCCACGAAGGGAAACAGGAGATCAGCAGTGCTCTCAAAATACACCCTCCCCCCCTTTGTCACCGAGGCCGTAGTGTAACCAAACAACAGACGCCTCCGCAGCGAACTGGAAGCCCTTTTCTGAGGTTTGGCAGCCTTCACCTTCTCTGATCGGGCAGTTTCTCTGGATATCCACTAAGAAGTCGTAGAATAATGGGATCCCCCAAACAACTTTAAACCCCTCCTCATGCCTGCGTCTCGGGCATCAGCGTGGCCTCAGCAAAACAAATTTCAGGACTGAGTCTGTGTGAGCCTCGCCCACCTCCACGGTTTTCCAATTCAATTCTTTCTGAGGGAGGAAAAGATGTGCTAAGCGTCCGAAGAGAACTCGGCCCCTCAAATTTCAGATTCGCTAAAAGAGAAAGAGGGTAACCCTCTAACGACTCAGACGCCAAGACTCCAATTAGAAAGAAAACGTCAGGAGAGGAAAAGCAGATTTTCCCGGGTTTAAATGACACGGAAAACATCGCCAGCGGAGCACAGAGAGAGCGGCCCGGTGGCCATTCAGGAAAAGCCGCTTCGCCACAGCTCTTCTCCCCAGACAAAGGCTCCTCGTCAGTCCCTCCGCAGCCGCGAAGCACCAACTTCGGGGGAAGAAAAATAGAGCCGCTGCTTCCCGTCAGGCAGCCAGACAATAGCTGCGACCAGGCCGCGCCTAGCCGGAGGGCACAGTACCGGCATCTTTGTTTCCACCGGGTCCTTCAAATCAGGCCTCCGCGGAGGAGGTGAAAGCGACTTGGCACTCCTCTTCTCACTAGTTCCTCTGCAGCGGCTACGCCGCCGCAGCCAATTGCACGCTCCCCTCACCGACGACTGGGGTCCTCGGGCCCCGCGGGAAGTAGCGCCGACCGCGCGGAGGGAAACGGCGCTCGGTGAAACGCCCGGCAACGTGATGCGTCCGCGGAAACGCGGCTCCTCCGCGCCCTTGCGCGCCGCCCGTCCGCGGCCCCGCCCCTACTCGTGGCCTGAGCAGGCAGCCCCCGAGGCGGCGGCCCGGGTACGGTAGGATGGAGTACTCTCCATGGCTCCGGCCTTGCGGGCGGCCCGGCAAGGTCTCCGTCCCGGGGCGTTTGTTTGGCCTGCGGCTGTACACGGTCAGACCCACTGTTCCCCTCTCCAGCCGCAGGTGCCGCAGATCGGGCTCCCCGACCCGGGCGAGCGTGATAATCTGACTAGCCGGTGTCGGCCCCGCTCCCCCTCCCCAAGCTCCCCAGCCGGGCGCCCCTAGCCTCGGGTCACTCTGCTGTAAAGAAGGGTAGTTGTGAGGGTTCCAAACGGGGGAATGCAGGTAAAGTGCCCGACGTTTAGCACACAGAGGAAGTTCTCCAAAACAGCGAAGCGTAAAAATGCACCCAGTTATAAATACGGGAAGCAACAAGGATGGATTAAAAAATTGCAAAAAAAAAAAAAAAAAAATTGCTTGGTACAGGTGGGCGTAGTGGGTAAACCCAAAAGACCTTAGTCTGTCCAATTGCGTTTATCTGAAATTCTAGAAGAAGCAAAACTGGTGAGGAAAGCCGTTGCCTGGGGAGGGATGAAAGAGGCGAGAGGATGGGAGGCAGGGGAGCAGGAGGGAACTTTGGGGGCGATGGCACGATTCCACGCCTTGATAGGACTGGGTGTTACAGGACGTGTGCAGTTGCCAAAATCCAAGGCTTTGTAGTCTTCAAATGGGTGAATTTTTTTATATTCAAATTGGGCTTCGCTAGTAGCTCAGCTGGTAAAGAATCTGCCTGCGATTCAGGAGACCCGGGTTCGATTTGGGGTCGGGAAGATGCCCTAGAGGAGGGACAGGCCACCCACTCCAGTATTCGTGGGCTTCCCTAGTAGCTCAGCTGGTAAAGAATCCGATTCACATTACACCTCAAAAAATCTTGGGAGGGGAAGAGTTAAAGCAGTGGGTAAGCGTAGTGAGGAACAGGAGACAGTTTAATGGAAAATAATTACATTTACACAATCTGAGAGCTAACTGTGCGATCTCTGAATGGAGTGGCTCCTCCCCCCTAAGAATCGTGACCACCAGCACTAGGAACAGCTCAGGTCCCAGAAGGATGCGCTGTGCCAGCTTGTGCATCTCCCCGGTTTGCTCAGTTGCACCCCCTCTCATCTTAGCCTCTAGCTCAGTGCAGAGGGGCCCAGGCTCCTCCCACCAGTCCCAGACTCGGGTGAAAAACACAGAGGTTCAGCCTATTCTTGTCTCTGGCAATTGCCTGGAGGGTCAGGGACACACCCAGAAAAGAGCCCAGAGAGCAAGAAATAAGTACCTCTCCTTTTTGCTCCGTAGGCAGCAGGTCCCAGTGTGGCTGTCTAGAAGCTGTCCTTGGGAAATGACTGAGCAGTCCAGCTGTGCTTTCTCCTCAAGTTGTTTTCAGCTTAGTGAAACATTGCTTTGCATTGCCTTTCCCCTCACCCTTGCTGCCCTGGGGTCGTACCTCCTAATAAAATCTTAGCACTTAAACTTGGCTTGAGGCTCTGCTTTCTGGATAATCCTTTAGCATCCTTTGGGCTTTCAGTCTGTACTTTACTGAAATTTTCACAACCATAATAGCAAACAACATTAGGATTATTTTTGGCTCTGACGCACTCTCCTGTTAGCCTGAACTGCTTCTTTACAAGGCAATCAGTTGAAACCAATACTAAATACATAAATTTATGTATACTTGCTTCTGTGTTAGTAGAGATTAAAATTTCCCCCCCCCCCACTTACTAGTTCCTAGTGGTGTTTTCTCTCAAGAGTAAATTCCTAGAGCACAGGCACTTGTATGTTTTAAACATTTGGGAGCTTAAAAAACTTGAGATGCAAATAAGTGCAAAACGAAAAAACTGCTTTTCAATCATGATCATAAAGCTGTCAGTTGGGAAGGGTGGTCTAATTATATGTTTTTCAGTTCATTCATCAAACTATGTTCTATCTTTCCTAAAACCTAATTATTAGGGACGGATATATGTTAAACCCATTTACAGCAACGTCTTCTGGTCCAGAATGCTGTGCAAGACAGTTTTTTTCTTTGCACTACTTTAAATATGGAAGATTTGAGTACGTTTGTATTTTTAATGATAACAGCCACTGGCTTTGTGGCCTCTTGTTAACTGTAGGTTTGTCGGCCCTTTCTCTTCCCTCCTACTTGGCTTGCTAACCATCTGTAACTTGAGCAACAGTAATTTGAGATGAGACTGGCCAGGGTCATATGTTAAATAGGACATTTCCACTTTCTTGACCACAAAATCCTCCCTTTCCTGGCCACTTAAACACTATTACATAATTCTACAAACATGTGGATCTGATGATGATCTACATATGTTGGCAAAGGTCACACCTGCAAATCTACCTTTCTATCAGCAAATTTTTTTTTTACTAAAGACATTTTTATTGTGTATAATCTGGTGTTTCATAGCATGTAAAAATTATTTTTAAAAACATGTTCTCTCTTATCTGCATCATTTATTTTTGCAGGGAAAACTTTGTCATCCTATCAAATGAACAGTTTTTCATCTTTGCCTTTGAAAAATGTTTTACCTAGGGTTAATTTCAGTCACAAGCAATCATGAAGCCAGGCTGTGTTCAAATTGTATTTAAATGCATTTTCACATAAAGAAAAAGCATTTTAAAATATCTTGACTTATAGACATGTGATATTAGAGGACATCCCATTAGGCAGATGTGAGACTTTCTCTTTAACTCCTAGCCCTTGATTCTTTCCAAATATATGAAGGCAGAAAACATTTTAGGAAATGTATAGGTTTTATAGATCTTGGCCCTCTCAGAATGGGTCACTTTAAGCTTGCTGCGATTATCACTAAACATTTTTAGAATTCTTTAGAGTTCTATAAGACACTGAGTCACATTCTTTTAAATGACATCATCAGGAATAGCAAATCTCTTTTGAAAGTATATTAATTTTTAGAAATACCCCACAGTCATTTGAAATCAGACCCAAGTTTAGGAACATTGATTAGCAGTAGAACAATGAATGTGAAAGAATAGAAATAAGTGAAGTAATACTTTTTTAAAAATTAAACTCTGAGAAAAGAATCAAAAGATTGAAGTAGAAAGTAATGAATGAGAAAATAAGCCACAATTGTTGATCAATTCCAAAAGTAAATCTTTGGGAAAAATAGGAAGAAAGTAGAGAAATGTCTGGCAACTCTAATTAAAAAAGAAAATATAAATAAAATTATAAAGGGGAAAGGAGACAATAGATACAGAGAAGTTTGAGGTTTTTTTAAAAAAATTATCTGAGAATGCTATGTATATAGTTAGCTATATTCCAATACTTTTTTTTTTCCAGGAAAAATATATGTCACCCAAATTTTATCAATAAGTTAGAAAAACTAAGTAGATAAAAACCAGAGAAGAAGTCAGAAAAGGCTCATCTTAGAGATTTTATAAGCAAATTCTTGCAAATTTTGAAAGACATATAATTCCCTTTCTGAATATATAAATATATAAAAATGTAATTCATTTTATGAAGCAAATATAACTATAAAACCTATCAAGAGTACAAAAAGAATAGTCAAAGATATAAACTCACATAAGAAATCAAATGCCATAATTCCCCCCAGAAATATCAGCAAGTTATTTTCAATGAAACAAGTAATTTTTAATAAGATCAGGAAGATTTTATCTGAGAAATCCCATAATATTTTAATAATAGAAAAATATTTGAAATAACAAATCATACATTTAGGCTACATAAGACAAAACCTTATCTCAATAAATGATAAAAATCTAACACCTACACCTCATTAAAACAGCTAAATTTTTAAAAACTCTTAGTAAATATTAAACCAATAGCCAACATCATATCTGTAATAAGGTTTTATAAAAATAATGGGGCTTCTCCGGTGGCTCAGTGGTAAAGAATCCACCTGCCAATGCAGGAGACGCAGGTTCATTCCCTGGGTTTTGAAGATCCCCTGGAGAAGGAAATGGCAACCAACTCCAGTATTCTTGCCTGGAATATTTCATGGACAGAGGAACCTGGCAGGCTAGTCCATGGGGTAGCCAAAGAGTCAGGCACAACTTAGTGACTAAACAACATAACAATAATAATGCTAATGGTAGGACAGTCACAGTCAAACTGTAAGGAAGAGGAGAAACTGTATAGTAATTCCTCAACCTCCCACCATCATTCCTTGTTCTCCTTCTCAGACATAACCTCCATTAACTGTTTCTTACATATCTTTCCAGAAATTTCCCATTCACATAAAAGCATATGACTAATACTTCCCTGCCGGTCCAGTGGTTAAACCTCCGAGTTTTCAATACAGGGGAAGTGAGTTTAAGTTAGGGAACTAAGATCCCACATGCTGCACAGGATAGCCAAAAAAAAACTTTTTTAAGTATGTGACTACTGCCTTTTGAAAAGGGAATCATACTATACAGATTATTCAGCACTTGATTTTTTCATTGTATATGGTATCTTGGACATCCTCCCATATAAGCACATAGATGTACAAAATTTTTTCGTAGTTTATTATTTGAATATAAATGAATTATAGAACAGTTTACATATATGAATGTGCCATTATTTTTCATTCACCTATTGGGAAATATTTTCTAGTTTTCTGCAATTCTATACAGTAACATTAGCATCCTTGCGTATCTTTGCCTATTGGTACTGGTGTACTAGGATTAATGCCTAGCAATGTAATTGCTGGATCCATTTCTGAATAGATATTTCCAAATTAGCATCTAAAAAGTCTGGATTAATTTATAATCTTAAATGTTTGCCAAAATATTGATAATTGTTGAAGCTAGGTAATGGGCAATGAGAGTTCTTTTTACTATTCAATCTTCTTTTGGGTATATTTTAAAATCTCCATATCCAGTGATATGACAGGAGAGGCATTCTCATTAAAATCAGGTATAAAGATGCTCACTATCAACTCTATCCTTTAAAATTATGCTGAAATAATTCTGACAAGAAACAGAAATAACAGGTAAAATATTGAAGGCAGAAGAAAATTTACCTTTATTTGCAGATGTTTTGCCTAGAAAACTCAAGAGACATGATTAAAAAACTATTTAAAATGACTATTAAAAACCAGTAACCTTTCCAGATCCAGTAATAACCTGTTGGGAAATATATATTTTTTAAAGATTCTATTAACATAGAAATAATATTGGCAACACTTGGAAGGGATTGATGCAAGGAAAGAAAAAAACATGAAAGCAAAAGGTTTAAATAGATTGAGAAATCTCATATGCTTCTAGATAAATGTATCTATTCCTTTATTTGTGACTTTAATCAAATTCCAGTAGAATTATTTTTTTAATGAAAAAAAAATTGCTGTTTGGAAGAAAAAACAGAATCCTAGCCAGAATACTTTTGAAAAGAAAGAATAATAAGAGATTCACTGTACCAGATGTTAATGCAAATTATAAAGCCAAAGTAATTAGTGATTTTGAATGACTGAGAAAAGCTTGACAAATAGATGAATGTTTCAGAAAAAGTCCTGAAAGAAAATTTAATATGTCCATAAATGAAGCATCACCAATAAGGAGGACACAGATTATTCAAAACTGGCCAATAATTTAGTCCATTATATGCTCACTTCATACAATTTACTGAAATACATCCCAAGTGGATTAAAGAGGCAAACATGAAATATTAAAAGAAAATATAAATGAGTCCCTTAAATAAGGAATTTTGAGTGGGAAAAATGCAAAGTAATGGAAGATACATAGATGTATCTACATAAACATTTAGAACATCTGTATGTCAAAAATGAGAAGGACATTTTTGGATGAGATGGTTAGACAGTATCACTGACTAAATGGACATGAATTTGAGCAAACTCCAGGAGACAGTGGAGGACAGAGGAGCCTGGTGTGCTGCAGCCCATGGGTCCATGGGGTCACAAAGAGTCAGGCATGACTTAGTGACTGAACAACATGTCAAAAATAACAATAAATAAAAAGTTGAGAAGTAGAAAGATATTTGTCATAAATATAAAATGATAGAGTTAGTATTTGCACCACGGTTCTTAAAAGCCTTTTCAAAGAAGAAATCCCAACACCTTTGGGGCAAAAACAGCATCCTTGTATTATGGGTTATGTCTTATAAATTCAGAGGAAACCACTTTGAAGAAGAGAGTTCATTTGGAAGAATCATTTGTCCCACTTTTAGAATGCAAGGTTTTGCTTTTGATATGTTCTGATTTCTTTCCACCTTACTTCATATGTACAAAGTGATGATATTTGGATTACATGATTATTTTTTTGCTGTTTCTTTTTCAAAAGCAAACCCTAGAATACTGTGCTTCCCTGTCTCCTCCTAAGGGATTCACTTGACTTCTCTCATCACAAACCCAGGGGCAGATACTCTTACTATCTCCATTTTCCAGGTTAGGAAAGATGTATCTCTGTGGCTTTAAGTACATAAAGGCAGCAAACTGAAGTATCAACATAAACACGTCATCAGAGGAGAAGCTACACCCAGTGAACACAATTTA